CAACCTTGACAATTTTAAGGCATGTGGACTTCAACTCCCAGAATTCCACAGCCAGCAATGCTGGCTGTGGAATTCTGGGAGTTGAAGTCCACATGCCTTAAAATTGTCAAGGTTGAGAAACATTGGTGTAGTGGATAAGGCGCTAACCTAGAAACCAGGAGATGGTGAATTCTAGTTCCACCTTAGGCATGTAACCTGGCTGGATGACTTTAGGTCAATCTCCAGGAGACGGTGAGTTCTAGTCTTGCCTTAGACATGAAAGTTGATTGGGTAACTTTGAGTCGGTCCCTCTCTTTTAACTGAACCCACTTCACAGGGTGGGAAAAATAGGAAGAAGGAGGATTAGGTTATGTTTGCTGCCTTGAGTTACTTATCAAGTAATAAAGGCGGGATAGAAATCTAATTAATTAATTCATATTTGCTAAAGCCATCAGTCCTCCAAGATAGGCCAAATCTGGAAAAGACACCGCATGAACCATTAGCACTCTACGGCCAGAGGGTGTAATAAAAATCTTGAAAATCTGCAGAGATGTTTTCTCTCTCTCGTGTCTTATACTAAAGAATATCTAGTCAGAACAATCTTGAGTTTCTCCCTCACCCTCTCCTATCTATCCAGGCAAAAGTGGGGTTTAGATAATGGTGGTTGAATTCCTTTTTCAAGGCCATCTCTGTACTTCTCCATAGCCGTAACTTTTTAGATGTCTATGGAGATTCTCTTGAAACTCAACATTAAGAAAACCAAGATCATGGCATCCGGCCCTCTCAATTCCTGGCAAATAGATGGGGAAGAAATGGAGGTAGTGACAGATTTTATTTTCCTGGGAACCAAGATCACCTTGGATGGGGACTGCAGCCAAGAAATTAAAAGACGCTTGCTCCTGGGGAGGAAAGCTATGGCAAATCTAGACAGCATACTGAAAAGCAGAGACATCACCCTGCCAACAAAAGTGTGTATAGTCAAGGCCATGGTTTTCCCAGTTACAATGTATGGCTGTGAAAGCTGGACCATAAGAAAGGCTGAGCGCCAAAGAATTGAGACCTTTGAACTATGGTGCTGGAGAAGACTCCTGCGAGTCCCCTGGACTGCAAGGTGCTCAAACCGGTCATTTCTAGAAGAGATCAACCCGACTGCTCTTTAGAAGGCCAGATCCTGAAATTGAAACTCAAATACTTTGGCCACCTAATGAGAAGGAAGGACTCACTGGAGAAGAGCCTAATGCTGGGAAAGATAGAGGGCAATAGAAGAAGGGGACGACACAGAATGAGGTGGCTGGATGGAGTCACTGAAGCAGGAGGCCTGAGCTTAAATGGACTCCAGAAGATGGTAGAGGACAGGAAGACCTGGAGGAACGTTGTCCATGGGGTCGCGATGGGTCGGACACGACTTTGCAATTAACAACAACAACATGGAGATTCTCAGTCCTCCAGGTCATGGTTGTCCCAAAGATGCTTTTTCAAAAGGTAACTGGACTTTCTTTCTTTTTTCTTGACGTTTCGCTTCTCATCCAAGAAGCTTTTAAAAAAAAGCACCTTTGGGACTAATGTTTTAGAGATATAGTTCCTCTGAAAACTTCTCAAATCTGGTTCCAGCTAACTCTGCGAGCCTTCCGCGTACCTGCTAGGGTGGGCCGTAAACTTTCCCCCTTATAAAAAAAGGCTCTCTTCTGTTTCCTGTCAACAGAGGCAGGAAAAAGGAACTAAAACCACCAAAGCAGCCCCTTGAGTCTGTCAAGAGGGGTAGCATTCTGTCATGGAGATGTGGTTGAGTGGCTTTACCATCAGGGAAGGCACCCTGGGGAGGGTTTGTTATTGGAAAGATTGCAAGATATATTGGGAGATAGGGTGAGTGGGAGTGACCTTTCCCCCCCCCCCCTTCATTTTTGTGCAAGCCTTATTCCTCAACTTGACAGACAAATATTCAGAGAAGTTTCCTCTGGTTCGTCCTACTGAATTTCCAGGCATCCGGCTGCCATAAAAAACCCAGTTTGAGTTGCAGCTGCCAAAAAGGCCAACTCAGTGCTAGGCTGCATTAACAGAGGGATAGAATCAAGATCACGTGAAGTATTAATACCACTTTACAAGGCCTTGGTAAGGCCACACTTGGAATACTGCATCCAGTTTTGGTCACCACGATGTAAAAAAGATGCTGAGACTCTAGAAAGAGTACAGAGAAGAGCAACAAAGATGATCAGGGGACTGGAGGCTAAAACATACGAGGAACAATTGCTGGAATTGGGTAGGTCTAGTTTAACGAAGAGAAGGACGAGGGGGGACAGGATAGCAGTCTTCCAATATCTCAGGGACTGCCATAAAGAAGAGGGAGTCAAGCTCTTCTCTAAAGCGCCTGAAGGCAGGATAAGAAGCAACGGGTGGAAACTCATCCAGGAGAGAAGCAACCTAGAACTAAGGAGAAACTTCCTGACAGTTAGAACAATTAACCAGTGGAACAACCTGCCTCCAGAAGCGGTGAATGCTCCAACACTGGAAGTTTTTAAGAAGAGACTGGACAGCCATTTGTCTGAAATGGTATAGGGTTTCCTGCCTGAGCAGGGGGGTTGGGCTAGATGATCTCCAAGGTCCCTTCCAACTTTATTATTATTATTGTTGTGATTTATTGACTTATGAGTTGGTGTGTTGGGTGAACCCACCATATAGTTCAGTCAGAATAGAGCTGGAAGAGACTCTATTGGAAGTCTTCTAGTCCAACACCCTGCCCAAGCAGGAGACCATTGCCATTTCAGACAAGTGACTGTCCAATCTTTTTTTAAAAAACCTCCAGTGATGAAGCATCCGCAACTTCTGGAGGCAAGCTGTTCCACTGGTTAATTGTCCTCACTTTTAGGAAGTTTCTCCTTAATTCCAGGTTGCTTCTCTCCTTGGTTAGTTTCCATGCGTTGCTTCTTGTCCTGCCTTCGGGCGCTTTGGAGAATAGCTTGACTCCTTCTTCTTTGTGGCAGCCCCTCAAATACTGGAATACTGCTATCATGTCCCCCCTCGTCCTTCTTTTCTCAAGACTGGCCATACCCAATTCCAGCAACCGCTCTTCATATGTTTTTGTTGCCAGGCCTTTATTCATCTTAGTTGCTCTTCTTTGCACTTTTTCCAAAGTCTCAACATCTTTTTTGTAATGTGGTGACCAAAACTGGATGCAGTATTCCAGGTGTGGTCTTACTTTGTTGTTGTTAGTTGCGAAGTC